TTCAGTCTGTCACAGTGGCGGAGACTGTGCTTTATCTCACTCTGCCTCATGGAAAGTTCTCCCTTTGTCTTTTTGTCCTATTCTTTCTTCTTTTAGGAAAATCAAATCGAAAAAGCTGCCCATAAGAAAGCAAAAAGGGATTTCTTCATGACAACAAACTTCTATGGAATGAGCTGGAAGCTGAAGGAAAAATGGCAAGTTGGACATTCACCACATTTTGCTGCATAGCAAAGAATGAGAGAAAGGAGGAGAGGGAAGGTTGCAGCTGCTTTCCCTTTGCACCCTCGTGGGTGCACAAAGAGAGATCAGATGCATAAACAGTCCAAAGGGGCACTGTCTTGTTCAGAAAAGGTGCCCAGTTTGCACCCACTGGGGTGCTCCCTGACCCAACCTCAGAGAAAAGGAGATGGTTCACTGGCACCAATACTGTGAACCCCTTCACCCATGTAAGAAACTAACTGTTGTCCAGGGAGTACTGGAGGAACTGAAAATGTGCCCTAGGCAAGGACAAAGTTGTTTATTTGACACATCTCAGTAGCAGACAGAGCCAGGAAATAGTTCTCAGCTATTTTCAACAAAACATGACAACTATACAAAATTGGCAAGGCTGTACCATTTTTCCCTAATGTCCAAAACAGTGTTCACTAAAATGTCTCTTTCCTAGTTTGCCAGTAATGTTTATTAATTACTTTGAATAGTTTCTGGTTTCTCCCAGGAAAATCTGATAATTCCACTGCAAAGCATGTGACAATCCTAGTCTATCCGTATCATATGCTGAGTTGCACAATTTAACTTCTTGCTAAAGATAAGATGAATTTTGGGGGGTTTTCAGGTGTATGTGAACCTGCTAAAGGTGTCTTTTTTTCCTACAATTCAAGGAATATTTCAAGCTGGGACTGGAATAATTTCAGAAAAAATACAGCTAAATCTTGGCTCTGGTTAGTGAATAACCTCTTGCAATGTTCTGACACTGAGCTCCAGCCATCTAACCCTGTAGAAAGGGTATTTCCCAGGGAGAAGTGGGTAGGGGGAAGAGTTTGATCTAGTAGAGCCCAAAACAGTGGATAATGATATGAATCAAGGGTTTAGGGGGTGAAAAGTCTATGTGATGTGATGCTTGTTTTGGGGAATAGGTTATTACATTTCACACTGCCATCTTATTTTCAGCCGTTGGAATGTGTACATGTGCTTCTCTTATCCTGACTTGCAATCTCAGCAAATTCAAGGCAATGATGGGCACTGAGGGTGAAATTCTGACCCTCCTGAAGCCAATGGGGTTTCAATGGGGCCAGGATGTCACTCTGGAAGTTTGATTTTTATCCCATCCTTGGGTTGGACACTCTTTTCCACCTAAGCTCATTTGTGACAGCAGCTGGTACCCTCGAGATGTTTTTTACACTTCTGATCATACCCAGCAAAGAGGTACTTTTCCTGGCTGACCAAGAGACATAGAGACATCATGCAATTTGTAGAAAGACAAGTAACAGAAAGGAACAGAATGGAAAGGAAAGGGGAAGAGGAAGGGGAAGCCTGCCCCATAAAAACCTGGCCACTGCAGCTCTGTTATTTCTGGATATCTGTAGGTAAAGTCATGGACTAGCAAAGACTTCTGTATAAGCATAAGAACATGCTCTGCTGACTGTCCAGTTGTATATCAACACCAAGTAAAGAGCAAATATACACAGGAAACCAGCATTAGGGGGAGGATAGAGGGAGCTCTGGTTGAAAAAGGTAGGCACACAGCAAGATTTCCCATTCAGTCAAAAACGCCAAGAAGTTTGGAAACCATCAGTTCCCAAACTAAGGCTCACCACACTTGTACGTGGGGTAGTGAGCCCCACAGGAATTCAATGGGAAGATTCAGGCTAGCACCAGAAGTGTAGTCGTGAGAAGATCACAGAATCATAGGAAAGTATGGCTGGTAGGGACCACACAAGGTCATCTAGTCCAGCCCTGCTCAAGGCAGGATCATCCCTGACTAAACCATCCCAGCCAAGTGTCTGTACAACTTGCTCTTGAAAATTTTCATGGATGGTGATTCCACAACGTCTCCAGGTAGCCTGTGTTTGACCACCTTCATAGTCAGAAATTATCTCTTAATCTTCAACCTAAATTTCTTGTGCTGCAGCTTGAGTCTGTTGCTTCTAGTTCTGTCCCCTATGGCCACAGACAAAAGCCCATCTCCATCCTCTATGAATGTCCTTCCAGTATTTGAAAACTGTTATCAACCCCACCTCTATCTTCTCTTCTCCAGGCTAAATAATCCTAGTTCTTTCCGCCTTTCCTTATAAATCTTGCTTTCCAAGATAACTGTTGTCACACTGTGCTGGACTCGATCCAATCTGTCCACATCCTTCTCGGCGAGACAACAGGGCTGAATGCGGCAGAAGAATCACTCCCTTTGATTTGAAAATGACATTCCACACAGAGAACTGCTGACCAGGACACTATGCTTGCATTTTCTTTGAATTTTCCACTGCTGCCTTAGCATTAGTAATTTCACATGTAAAAGCAATCCAGTACTTTAACCAGTGTCAATCCTTGCCCAAAGCAGGTTCAGAAAACACAAGGACTAAAATGGTGGTGGATGTCAGTTGCCTGGCACTTTTATTGTCATTACTACTCTTTCAACCATATACTAGTATGGATGTAACAGTTGAAATGAAAGGAAAAATTATCATATGATAAGGTATATGGTGACAACAGCTACAGAAAACCTACAAGCTCAGGAAAGCTTAAATTAGCATTAGATACAACAGTAAGGACCATTTTTAGAGTGTGATCTCAGAAGATTACATTTTGTAAACTCTCTTTGTGGGGTCATTTAGTTCTGGTTGGAGGTGGGACTATTACGACTCATATCCCAGTCAGACCCTAGTTGCTGATAAATGTTCGGAAATATCCCGAGTCACACAGCAAAACATCTTAAAAGCTGAGCTCAAGCCAATTCAAACAACACTGGACTAGCCACCTGGAAACTGGAGGTGCCATCTTAGCTGGAAATCTCCTTACAGGAACAGTTTTCTTCAGGAATCCCTTAAAAATGCTGCATTTTGGACACTGGTTCCATGCCAGGATGGTAGTAAAGATAAGTTTCAGTTGGCAGAGAGGATCTGTACAGGTTTAGCACTGGTCAGACAGAGCCGAGTGATATGTGATTCCTGGGGGAGCAAACACAAGTGGGCACTTACAAGAAAACCCCCTTGTGTGGAAAAAGGTAAAAGGAGTGAATATTTAACCCTGGTACACAGAAGACTTTATTTTGGCATCACTAGCTCTGTTCTCAGTCCTGTAACTTATTCAGAAACCTCCAAGGTGCTGGCTGATTTAAGACTGTTTTATTCATGTCTAGATTTGAAGTCTGCCTTTCCAGAGTATTTGTTGAAGGTTTTAGCCTCTATACTGTAAATTAGTAGAACACTTTCTGGTGGCCTCATTCAGAAATATGGGATGGTTGCAGGAGAGAGAAAGTTTAAGTAAAGAAAATGGAAAGAAATGGGCTAACATTCACCCAGCTGGAGAGGCTTGGGGAAACATAGCAATTAACCACAGTAATGAGTATGTTTGTTTGCATCACTAAAATCAAAGAGAATGCTCTTACAACAGTTATCTTAAATGGTGGCATGAAGGCTGCAAGTATGTATGACGAATAGTATTAATAGTGTTAGCACTAGTATTTAAAAATATTACTGCAAAACACTGTAGAGCTTTAAGCAGTCGCTATTATTTAATAAGGCTTGGTTTCTTTATACTGCAAACCTAAATAAAAAAACTGGGTTTTTTTAGCATTATTTTTGCTTTCTGTGATGCAATCATCTGTATAAACCCATCTACTAAGAACTAGATAAATAAGCGTTCCAAACCATCAACAAGATGGCTAAAATGGTTGAAACCACAACTACAGTCCCCTCTCTTCTCTCTGAATGGGCAATACAGAGCTGCCACATTTCAGCAGGGAGAATACTCCACGATTTCAGTTCAGAAAAGGAAGTTTTATTAGGAGAGAGATAATATGTTGTTTGACACAGAGAGAGATACCAGATGGCCTCTTCCTGCTAATGGTCTTTCCTTCTCTCAAAAATCACGTTGTAATTTAAGACACAGTTGCTGCCTGCAGATAATAAGCAGGACATGCTTTCGAAAAGAAGCTACCCTGGGTTCAATGAACACAAGACCTACTGTAATTAAATGCATATGTCAATCCACAGTCAGTTGGTTCCGAAGCACGCACTGGCTGTGTGTTTCACATTTTCTCGCCGAGCTGTTGGCATTCAGGGAGGCTAACTCTTAAGCTTAGTGCCCTGCAATATACTAAGCTCAGTTTAAGCTGACCTGGGTTTCTTCTCTTCTCTCTCTCCTGTGGGCTGACTCTCAATATGCTGTCAGTCTTATTTGTATCCTGAAATTACAAAAAAGAGGCAGGATTCGGCCAGGATTATGGCTGTGTTTCAGGGGTAGAAACTGCAGTCCCTCCTGCAGCTACAAATAGTTGTTATATTGTTCTACATGTGCACGCACACGTGCCATTCCAGCGTATACTCAGTCTCCCCACACGCTCTGCAGCATCACTGCACCTTCATTACATACCCATGCTCTGTTTCTTTTAACCCTATCGCCCCTGCTTTCTCCTATACCATGTACACATATGCTCTCATCTACCTTCTTCTGCACATGCTACCCACTATCATTTAACTTTCAGGGCATCAAAAGATAGACTGGTGCTGGATGGCAGGGCAGAAGAGATGCAGAGACTGCATTCACACTTATGAACATGCCTTACTTATGGGCTGACTTACTCTGCAAAATCCAGGGAGATCTGTAAAGATCTGTAAGCATTTCTCTGCTATAGTTTGGCAAGGTCTGGCCTTATAACTTCAGAATTTCGAAGACTACAAGAAAATACTTCATAACACGTATGCAAGCTTCAGAGCCAAGGGAAACCCAGCAAAGCCCCAGTGGTTAACCCATTCCAGCAGGCTGTCTGCCATCCCCATTCCTACCTTCACAGGCCTTCCCATCATCCTTCAGCTTCAGGCCACTGGAGCACTTGCAGTAGAAACTGCCAATAGTGTTGCAGCACTGGGACTCGCAACCCCCATTCTCTACTTCACATTCATTCACATCTGAAAGAGATGAGACATGGGAGAGAACACATGAGATGGCCATGGCGAGTCAAGCTAAAGGAATGCTCCATCTGTCATAAAAGCACTTCTATTTTTAATACACTTCTAATTTCCTCCTGGTTTTCTTTTATTAGATGTTCAGTGCCAATAAGAAAAACACTGAAAGGTAAATAGCCAAATATTTCCTGAGCTCATGCACAAAGAGTTTAAAATTTAAGGTATTTTTACTAAATATGTTTGTACTCTTACTGAATCCACAGTGCATATGTTTACATGCACAAACACATTTTTCCTCACTTTGCCACCCTGCACAATGCCCATTTTATCTAAGACAGTGGTTCCCAACCTTTTTTGTACCCATTTGTAAACATTGATGGCCAGTTCCCACCCAGTGCCCCTCACTGCCGACCCGCTGCCCCTTTGCCCCCAACCCCAGCCCCCCCAGCTTGTGGGGCAGAGGGTGGGTTTGTGGAGTAGGGGGATGCCCCAAGCAGCCCTTTCCAGGCTGGACCTCTGCCAGCCTGCAGGGGAAAAGCCATAGTTTCCCACGTTTTTCTTCTTTAAAGGAGAATTCATTTTTAAAGTTTGTTTGCAACCCTTTCATATATTCTTGGAACCCACTTTTGGGCCCCGACCCATGGGTTGTGAAATGCTGACCTAAGATAACGGGAAGCAAGGGGAAATGGATCCACAGTGATAGATTAAAGAAGCAAGTGAAGAAGAGATGAAGGATGAAAATCAGAAACAAGGGTTCACAGTCCTCATGTTTCAAGGTGTAAACTGGTCACAAGTTAGAAAGAACAAGAAGTTTCTGACTAGGCAATAGAATATCACCATTAGGTGTACTGTAGGAGGTTTAGGCATACCATCACAACGTTCAGGATCAGCCAGTACTTTGGACCATTCGTCATGCATGCATTGTCAGAGTGAAAGAAGACCAAATCTGTGAGTAAAAATGTTCCTTTTTGCACACCTGTGGCCAATGTGACAGCACAGTCAGTTTTAGAAGATTTTTTTTTCAAACCTAGCACCCTGTGAGGACTCACTGCCGCATTCCTTATGTAACTGTAGCCAGCAGTTTACTAGAGGTGCCTAACTCATGAACTTGCCTCCCTGGCTAGGGACAGACATTCAAAATGCCTGAGCCTGAATTGATTCAAACTTTGCAGGTTAGTCTAACCTGGCTAGGCTAAACCACCCAGACATCCCCTCTGGACTAAGGAAATTCAGGCACATGCCTGAAGCCGCTCAGGCTAGAAGCTGGGGGGCGCTAAAGCAGCCCTCCCCTCCCTTCTCCAATGCTGAGCGGGGGGGGGGGCAGGCCCAGGCAGGATGCTCTGATTAGGGAGCCCCCCCAACCTTGCTAATAGAGCATTTATGAGCTCTGTTATCAGCATTTAACACCCCATCAGAAAACAAAGCCTCTCTCATTAGTTCAAGCTCTTCTTAAACAACTTTTTGCAAGGAAGGGAACATTCCAAGGAGGGACATTATCTGTTTATTATCTCCAAAAAGCCCTAAGCAGACAGTATCCTGTCTGCTTTACGCAGACACCTCTCAGCACTAGCTACCATACCACATGCGGGCCACCATCCGTGCTGTGGGAGGGAGTAGGGTGGGATCCCTGCTTGACCTGTGAGCAGTGAGGGGAGGGGAGGGGAGAGCAGGAGAAAGCCAGGCAGAAGCGCTGTGCCTTCAAGTTTCTGCCGGAGCTCTAGCAAGGGAGCAGAGGAGAGGGGCCAGCCCTGCTCTGGAGCAGAGAGACCCACCCAGCCCAGAGAGCATGCTGGGATGCTGGGGGAGTCTGGTTTAACTTAAACCATCAAGGGGTCTGGGACAGACATTGCATTAACTGACCGGTTTCAGCCAAATCAGTTAAGTTTGATTGGTATGATCTCTTTGGCTTCCCAGTCAAGCAAAATCTTCTCTTCTTTACTCTTTGTCTTATGCATTTCCAAGAATGCTTCATTCAATCAGGTTTATCCATTCAACCAGGTTTATCTCAAACTGGTTTCAGCCATTTTCAGACTTGTTTATATGCACTGAATGTCTGTTTTGTTACAGGTTTAAACTAGTTTCTGATCATTTAAACCAGTTTATGTGTAATGTTTGTCACTAACAGCCCAGAAGAGCAACGGGATAGGAAAGGAAGCTCTATTTCCCAAGTGCAAAAGGAGATTACAGCAAGCAGTCATTAAACTAACCACACAGGGTTCCTCAAACAGCCTGAGCCACCTGAATACTCATTGTGCCACACATCAGTGGTAACATCTGACCAGGGGAGTGAGAGAAACAGGAGAAATCCATCTTTGCATGATTCCTAGCAGCAATCTTGGAAATGCATAGGACAACGAGTAAAAAATAGAAGTTTTTTGCTTGACTGGGAAGCCAGAGATCATACCAATCTACTGACTACTGAGAATCCAGAAGTAAATGCTCATCATCCCAAATCAGCATGCCAGGGATCCAGTTAATGGCTTCTGCGATCATTAGCAAATAACTTCTAGTATTTTGTTCCTATTCACAAAGGCACCTATCATAAAGCCCATCTCAGACTCTAAATCTCCTTTCCCACCCATCCTGCTTTCACACACACTGCTAATTTTCACACCTTTTTCCAGATTAGTTTTAGATACTATCAAGAGTCATGCAGAGCCTGCCTGTTTGATAAGCAGGGATTTAGGTTTTCCATTTCCCACAGAAAAAAAGGAGTAAAATGCAGATTTCTCATTTTAGCAGAAAACTTGCAGATTTTGTAGTTTTGCCGCAAGCCCTCTGCAGGCTGGCAGACTTCCAGCCCTCCAGGTGCTGGGAGGGAGCAGGAAGAAGGTGGTCAGGGAGGGGGCACCATGTACTTGTATATGTACATGCCCCAGGCAGCCTGGAGAGCAGCTCCTGTAGGTAAGTGAGGAGAGGGGGATTGAGGCCCCCATAGTGGGGAGGGAGAGAGTTGGGTAGGGCTAGGGCTGCTGCGCTGTCAGGCAGTGCGTGGGGCTTGCAGGCCAGGGCCACAATGCACAGCTGCATGACCCCAGTGGGTAGTGGGATGGGGCCGCAGGTGGCTTGTCCAGGGGTTGGGGGATGGCTCCCTGCCATGGCATGCACTCCCAGGCGGGCACGGGGGACCTGTGCCCCCAGATCTGTGAGCAGGATGGGAGTGGGTGCGTGCTGCAGGCTTGGGCTCCTGCCCTTCTGCCCTCCGCTGGGGCGTCCCAGCACAGCAGAGCAGAGCACAGCCATGCAGGCTCCTGCCCCCACCCCCCCAGCCCCCCCACTGCCTATCTGCTGCAGGCTTTGGCGAGGTGGGGTCGGCTTCCTACAGCTGTGTGCTCTTCCATGGGATGGGGGACCCATGCCCCCCAGATCTGTGTGTGAGGTGGGGGTGGGGGCAAGTGCACACTGCAAGCTTGGGCTCCCACCCTGCTGCCCTCCCCCATGGCCTCTGCAGCCCAGCTGCAGGGCAGAGCACAGTGGTGCAGGAAAGCTGCTTGCAGCTGTGAGCTCTGCGCTGCCCTGGTGATGCGCCCCATGCACGTGCAGGGGCAGCACAGGTGGTGGCGCAGGGTTGTGGCCTTCACTGCACAGCTGCTCAGCAGACAGGCAGGGGGCGGGGGGGAGCCGGTTCTGTGCTCCATTCCAGTACAGCAACCTTTGCCTTCTGACAGAGGCAGGGGACTGCGGACCTGAGTCCCTGGTCCCATAGCCCTGGGAGCCTGGGGCCCCTCTGGCAGGGCTGGGGGTGGCAGGGGAAATTTTAATCGTGGATTTGGTGGAGGTTTGTCACAGAATTTGTGATTTTTTTTATCAGGGAAAACCAGGATCCCTCTTAATAAGTCTCTGTAGTACATGCCATCTCTTACACTACGCTTTCTTGCATTATTTCTTTTTTAGGACCTGGTGGGGATTCCTTTCACTGAACTCTTGACAACAGCTTGGGAGCACACATTCGCAAGACAGCCAGCCTTTCTAGGACGAGAATGCCTTACTTGCCCCACATAAGGAGTTTAGCTTATGTGCAAGTTTTTAAAAGCAAGACCATCTCTCCTGAATCAGAAAGGCCAGCTCATTATGATATATTCCCACCCAGACTTCCTCAAACATTAACTGAGAAAAACACTGATAAATTGGCTGATCAAGACCCCTGGAAGAATAACTCTGGAAAGAACAAGCTTAAAAACAAATACATCTTGTAACATGGACTTAGGTGAAATACCATTTCAGCAGTAACAAGGGCTCACTTTGTGCAGATATTTTTTTACCCATATAGTTATCTGAATTATTCACTATAAAAAGTAAATCATGGGACCTTCTCTGCTTCCACATCCACAACCAATGTGTTGCATAGCTGCCTTGTTCCTCTGAATATTTTATATCAAAGAAACAACGATACAAACACTGAATCCAAGAATCAGACACTGAGCAAAGAATTCAGGCTCATTACTTATGAATATAAAAAGTAGTAGTTTAAGCAGCAAATGTACCAAGGGCGCTTTATCGTAACATTGGTAAACTACAACACACACAAAAAAGTCTGAAAATTAAAAATGATCAAAATTTGAAAGAAAATCACCAAAGCATCAATACCTTCTTAAATCTGCAGTGACAAGCATAGTATACATGGGTCGACAGGCAGACAAAATTAATTAGAAAAATAGACACAAGGAGTCAGACAAATGGGCCTGAAAACACTTTATAATAAGAACAACAATACAGAGATTACAAAAATTAAATTAAACTGGAGTCTGAAAGCAAATCATCCAGAATGATCTCTGTGCACAAAAATGTTACTGAACTTTATTTTGGAAACCCTGAAAAGGTTTTAGTATTAGTGTAGGCTTAATCTAGCTAATCTGTAGTTCATCATTATTATTTTACTTTATTTAACTGTAGTTCATCATTGTTATTTTACAGGATCTCCCTTTATTCAAAGCTGCAGGCAGACGAGGCTGTGGAACACGGTAACAAGAATACATCACTGTTGCATGTGGGATGGACTATAG